TGAAAAGATGTGAGACCCATGAAAGATTTGGTTAATATTGATTATTTGACTTTGACTTAAATTAAAATTAGATTTTAATCTGACCCAAACAGGCCTTTAACAAGTGGAGTCATGTTCTAATCTTATTGGCATCATTTTGTTTTTCGTTAATTATAATATATTATCAATCTAATTAACACGGTCTATTATTCAGGTTATGTGCATTTTTCTTTAACACAATTAATTTACATGCCATTTTTCAATTGCAAAGCATTGCTAACTTTTATTGTACGATAATTGCTTTGTTGTTCACGTCATTTTTAATTATTCCTTCCGGCAACCAATTTGGTAGGTGCACTTCGTTTACTGAATTTGCGATTGATATGGGGATTTTGAAATAATTATAGGATTATCGGAAGTTAAATTTCATAATAGTCATTGAAGTTTGTGCAGATTATGCAGTTGTTCCAATTGCAATTAGGATAAATGTTGCATTTTTATATCGCAAGTGTACGATATCGTAACAAATAATATAGTGAATTCTTGATGTAACAGCCTAGATTCTAATACCCAGGGCGCTATTAGATCTTCATTTTCTAACTTTCGTGTCTCGTTTAAATTTTAAACGCGTCAAAAGATTTACAATTTATTTCAAACTTTAGGTGTGGAAAAACAAAAATTCATTTTACAAACTTTGAAAGTGGAAGAACTTAAAAGAATATATAATAATAATGAACTTTTAATGTCAAGTGAAATACTTGTTAAGCTGTTGGAAATATTAAGTTTTTTTTTTCTTTTTGCTCAAAATTGGTTTAACCTACGTTACTTTCACATAAAATCGTGAAATTTAGCAGTAAAGTACCTAATCCTATTGGTAAGGTCATATTAAAATTTCAGGGTCAAACTCATTCGGTTGCTATGTCAAATGATACAATGAAATGAGCTACTCGACGAAATGCGATTCACCATCGCAGTTTAGAATAAAATCATTAGACATGCTAGGAAGGTGATTCAAGTTTCTATGGACAGGGAAATCATAGGGCTTTCAATTGATTTCAAGTTGAAATTCATATTATAATTCAAGATATCACATTTTTGGTGACTAGAACAAGTCTGAAATTTCACAAGGACACGAAACTAATGTAAATGTTTTTACATAGTTAATAGTTAAACGAAATACTAAAGTTGTTCGTCCATTTTAATTCATAAAAGAAACAAGATAAAACATAATTTACACAAGGTAATAGTCACTGCCATCCGCCATCACGCCTCTCACCAAGCTCGTCAATCTGAAATGT